CGATAATTTTACACTCTTGCTCGATAATTTTTAGCCACAATGTGCTGGAATCAGGCGAAATGTGCCTCAAGGCGGAAACTCGAAATCGGACCCATGAAAAACCCGATTTAGGTCTAAAAAAGCTAACTAGATTCACTTAGATTTGCGTATTTTGAAGACCCAACACTGGTAAAAAAAATCTCTTGGTTCAAGAATGCAGTTTCTTGTCGCCGGATTTAAGAGTCTGGACTCTTGTTTCAATGCAAAATCCGCTTGAAACAAGAGTTTAAGATTCTTAAATCCGGCGACAAGNTCTAAAAAAAGTCATTGCCATTTTGGCGCCCCCCCTGAAGTGGCGCCCGGGGCACGTGCACCCACTTGCCCCCCCCTAGATCCGGCCCTGCCAAGAGGTTTTTTTACCAGTGAATGCACAAATAAGTCATGTGGTATGTGGTATGTTTAAAGGAAAAAGATGGGGGGAAAAGAAGATTTTTGTCTGGACCGCGTTAAGCAGAAAGGAACCAAGGCACAACATGTTATTGCTAAATTTAATGGGGCAGTTTTATTTTTTTTTTTTTTTCATGAAAACGGCAAATCTCAGTGAAGTTTTTGCATAGCACGAAACGAATTCCTTCAAATTTTCAAAGAAATTTGCACAAACGTTCTCTCGTAAAAAATTAAATTGTCCAGCTAAGTTTGGCAGTAATGGCTGACGCGGCTTAGTTTCGTTTCTGCTAAACGCGTTCCATTTTACGTATATTTATTACCTTTTACCCACATTGGTCGTAAATAGATTGTTTAAAGAAGTCGGACAAAGAGAGAATCATAACTGAATTTTATCCTCAAAATACCCATGATTTTCTTGTACAATCGTATGAAATTTCATTATTTTAACATATTTATTAGGAGATATTCGGATAAAAAGTTCTAGTTAGTAAACTAGAGCTGAGTATGAAGTCACGCTACACCCCCTGACCGTTTCTCGCTCAGGCGTCAAGCTTTGCGTTTTTCTCATGATTTTAAGTGCTAGTAAAGTTATTTATTTCCTGCCGTGTGCGGAGTATGACAGTTGCTAGGCCCAAGTCCGTTCCTGCGATATTCTTACTTCGTAAAATAAAAAACAGGAACGGTAATGTGCTCAGTCCGTTGTCCCAATTTCTTCTTCTTCTACCTACGTTCATTAATTTAATGAACACATGGATGAATGAGAGACTGCCGCTCTATTCCTATATAAGAGAATGAGGAGCTGCTGTTAATTTATATTGCGTGAACTACCATTTTAGTCCTATTACTCAACACTCCTGCCATTTAGGCATTAGGCACTAGGCACTAATTCAGGCAGGCGTATAGACTGAGGTAGGGGCGATTGTCTGATAGTAAAATTGCGCCGTAAAAGGTGGAGATTCTCTCTAAAAAAATAAAAAACAAATAGATAAACAAATACATAAAAATAATGAAGGTGCATTTCTTTTAAAAATAAACTAAAATATGTGTAAGATCTCTTTTATATATTATTTTCGCTATTATTGTGGCCACGTTCAACTCCAGGGACTATACAGACTGTACAATTTGCATCAAAAGACATGAAGGAACCCTTAACACCGATAAAAAGTAATGCAAATTTTACCAAAAATATGGTTAATTCTATCATGAGTCTACTTGATTTTTGTGGTAATGTATGGTATAGATCGATAACCAAATATTTGGTAGCACTGTTGTTTTTTAAATCGTACTTAAAGTTACTTATTATTTTCTCCTTCGAATGAAACTAATAATGAGCAGATAATCGTAATGTCGATGAACCACCAGTGCATACCACCACATGCTATCGTTTCTATCGCATCAATGTGTTCGTATCCAGCCTCAAGTATTGACCAAAAAATAGATTGAGATATTTTGAGCCCAACGCCGACGCCGACGCCGCGCCGCCACCACGCTGCTGGTCGCGGTTTAACAATGTTGCCAAATTTTCACGTTTTCTGTAACTGTATAGCAACACTTGAGAAACGAAACTCACATTAAATTACTTGCCGCATTATGAACTTGTGGAGCTTGTAAAGCTTTTTAAGTTTGCCATGATTCAAGCCATGATGATTTCATAGAATTTCGGAAATTTGTTTTACTACATAGAGGAAAATACAATACGAGTATGATTTAAATAATTATTTCTTATATTTGAAACGTCGCTGCTTCATTGATTTACGACGAAGTCGTAGGAATTTGCTACGAAACCTAATCAAAACTGCAAAAACTTTAAGACCCGGCTAGTTATTTCCGTGATTTTTAGACTCGAAATAAAGTTGAAAATTCGGCAGACATAATTATGAACTTGCTTTTTTTAAAATTTGGACACCCACTTTTAAGCGGGTCCGTGTAGTGGCGAGGTTTGAACGATCGATTATCGATATTTCCCCATTTGAAACTGTGGTAAATTATTAAAGTGTTGGTCGCGAACACCCTGTTTATCTATCATTTTCCATAGGTTTAAGTAGCAGATCAATCGACATATCGCAAATCACTCCACGCCACTAGAGCCGTGTACTGTGATATCTTTTTGAAACAGAAAATCAGGATTTTATATACAGAGACTGTTAAGATGTAAAGAAAACAAATTTTTAAAACCTGGAACTAATTTTGCTCCCCTGATGGTTTGCCTTGACGGTAATATAAAGAATCTTATGCTTCTTTTTGCCGAAAATGTTCACCCTCGAGATTTAAAGATCGTCATTTTCCATCTATCTGGCATGCAAGTGATTACAAAATGACGACGATCAGATCAGACCACCCATGTCCATTAAGACAAGATTTATAAAGCAAGTGGTCAAGTTTACGTAATTGAGTTTGTCGAACTTGCGTCCAAGTCACTCACTGTTCTCTCGTTGTCAGGGGGCAGTCAAAAATATCTTCGGCGCGGCGTTCGACAACAATGTATAATACCTATAAAATCTCATGATAGATTTTACCAATACCTGGTCTCTCTCCACTCACTCGGGTGACAAAAATCCTGTTGGGAAGGAACATTCCAAGCTCTCGTTTATTTTAATTAAAGGGTACTTGGTGTACTCGTTTGTCTTTCCTCTGCAACGCTGGCATGTTACAACTACCTCTCTTTTACAGAAAATCCTTTTAATTTCTACGAAACAGAAATATTTAGTAACAAAAACAGTACTGTCCAATTAACCTCCAACCAAAATTTCGTCTAACTATAAAAATTATTCGTTTGTCTATATTCGTTTTGGGGCACACATCAGTAAATATGGATCTGAGGGAGCGTTCACAAATTTCGTGACGCACTTTTTCTGCATTTTCGACTCCTACCCCCTCCCCCAGCTTGTAAAACTTTTTTGACGTAGGTC